CAACCGATACTATCTTTGTCACTAGTAGCTTTACCGGCCTCTGGAGCGCGCCTTTCGGACATGTATCTCTCCTTATCCTTCTGTAATTCACGAATTTGAGCTTTCATTTCCTCCAAAGTAGCCATCACTTCTTTATTGGTTGGATTTTTTTCCTTGGCTGCTTATACAGTTTGGATGGAGTGACACCAAATCCCTTGCCCCTCACACGCCCAGAGTACTCAGGAATATTCAACACCCGACTCAATAAACTCCTGCAATCATCGTCTTCAGCAGGAGTTATAGTCTGGGATAGGGACTCCTGAAATATAGATAAAAGCATATTTAAATATTTTATACACTTTGTTCAAAAACTAATGTTGTACTTACACATTGTTCAAACACTTGTTGAACTTCTTCTTGGACGGCTCCATCTCTTCCCACCCGGGCAGCCTTCCATACGACATGGTCCGGAAGAGATGTCGCATCACTTTTCTCCTCTTCCAACTACGCATTAAGACGAACAATAAAGCATTATATCCTATTATGTATACTTACTATTTTTTGTAAATAGATCATATTAAAGCATATATATGCACTAACTAATTTTTGTTCTAAGCGTGCATATCCCAAACGCCCCTTTCTATATGGATACGCAGGGTTTGATGCCCGTTCCCGATTTACGCCACTCTTAACCTAAAAAAACAAGTTTAAGTCATATCAGTTTGTTTGTGGAATAGGTATATATACTATACATTGTTCATGATAAGTTGTACTTACTTCAAATTCTTTGGTTCTTCGCTTCGCAACAAATGTCTCCCATTCTGCATCCGAAATCAAATCAGCGTACTTCGCTGGACGCTCCGAGTCTACAAAGTTGCCATCAGAATCTTTAAGAAATTTGTTGGTTAAAAACGCTCTAAATCCCCTCAAGCGTTTTCCGGCCAACTGAATACAATATTTTCTCCTAGAATCCTCAATATTAAAAGATCTCTGCAAACAAATACACATACATATAACATGTTAGTATAATTAATTTAAAGATGTAACTGTCAACATAATTAAAAATGATCAAATCTCATACTTGAATCTCGCTCCAAATTTTATCCTTAGCCGCTTGTAATGCAGAAATTCTCCAGTTATCGCAAGTAATCGGAACTTGCGAATGTACAACTGCTCCAATATAACTTGTCAGCAGCGCACCATTAGGCTCAACCAACTGATCTCTTTCATTCCAATGGACATCGTACTTTACACCTCTATCTCTCGCACGGATGATTCTTTTCATTATCGTTATGCCTCTTTTAATTTCGCCTTCAACGTCTTTGGGTGTTTCTTTTCCATCATGTGATGTTTCCTTGTTGCTGGCCATAATATACCTGTAATTCAGAATAACAACAACAACAACAAATATCAACAACAATAACAACAAATGTCATATTAAACAACAACAACAAACCATCTATATCAAATATAAACTATATCTCATATTTATAATCAACAACAACAACAAATATCATATTAAACAACAACAACAACAATCTATATCAAATATACACTATATCTCATATTTCATATCAACAACAACAACAAATATCATATTAAACAACAACAATATATATCAAATATATATATCTCATATTTTACATCAACAACAACAACAAATTTCATATTAAACAACAACAACAACAATATATATATATATCTCATATTTTACATCAACAACAACAACAAATATCATATTAAACAACAACAACAACAATATATATCAAATATATATATCTCATATTTTACATCAACAACAACAACAAATATCATATTAAACAACAACAACCACAATCTATATCAAATATAAACTATATCTCATATTTTACAACAACAACAAACAACAAATATCATATTTTACAACAACAACAAACAACAAATATCATATATCAAATATTAAACTATATCAAATATCAAATATCATATATTAAACTATATATATATATATATATATATATATATATATATATATATATATATATATATATATATATATATATATATATATATATATATATATATATATATATATATATATATATATATATATATATATATATATATATATATATATATATATATATATATATATATATATATATATATATATATATATATATATATATATATATATCAACAACAACAACAAAAACAATCAGAACAACAACAACAACAACAACAAATAACACAACAACAACAACAAAAAAAACTCAAATATCTCATATTTTACATCAACAACAACAACAACAATATCATATATATCTCATATCATATTAAACCTTCAATATCATATTTTACATAAACCTTCAATATCATATTTTACATAAACCAACAACAAAAACCATCAGAACAACAACAGCAACAACAAATAACACAAAACCTTCAATATCATATTTTACACTAAACCTTCAATAACTCAGATAACACAAAACCTTCAATAAAAACAACAACAACAACAATATAAAACCATCTATTATGTTCAAATACCATCTATATAAAACCATCTATATCATCAGAACAACAATGGTGAAAAGATAAACAAAAAAGAAAGAAAAGCAGAGCAAGCTTCACGTACCGTAACAATGGTGGACCGGCAATGCAGACAGATGGATGAACTCAAAAACGGACGGTGAACGGTCGGTGATGGTCGGAAGGATGATCGGACGGAAGAAGGCGATGGTCGGACGATGAACAGTGGGTGGTTGGTTCGTGTTTTCATTCGCCAGAGAAAGAAGAAATAGTTAGCATGACTGTTCTGATTCTATTATAATTCTGGAGGGTATTTTAAAATTATAATATGAATACCTTTAACAGAGCTTTTAAAAACGCTTTCATAGGGTGCCTTATCAATTCCATATAGCAGCGCTTTATATAAAAAGCGCTTTCTAAGGGTCCCCCTTTAGCAGCGCTTTTAAAAAGCGCTTTCTTAGGGCCCCCTTTAGCAGCGCTTTTTAAAAGCGCTTTCTTAGACCCACCTTTTAGCAGCACTTTTTTAAAAGCGCTGTCTTAGGTAGGCACTTTTTTTCTTTTTCTTTTTTATGGCCCTTTAGCAGCGCTTTTGTAAAAAGCGCTGTCTTTCTATGCGCTGCTAAAAGTGATTTCTGGCGTAGTGGATGAATCATATTTGTCGAATATTTGTAAACAATGTAAATAAGAAACCTTATATTTTAATTAACAAAATGAATATTTTTAAACAATGTAATTTAATATCATGTGTAAACAAAGTAATTTGTATTAAAAAAAGCTTTTCCCCTCGATTTTTGTTAGAAACCGAGAGGTACGTGGTGCTAGTTTTGAAATATAAATATATTTTTGCAGTGGATCAAATTGATGATCATTTCAACTATTCCCTCAGTTAATCAGAAACCCAAGAGTAAAATGTGAAAAGTTTTTATATCACCCTTCGTTATCGCTTTTGTAACTAAGATAAAATCTCTTTCACGCCCGAGGTAAAATGTGTTTTTTCTAGTAATTTTTACGCCTTTGATAGCCTCGAGTCCAGTGATGTCAAAATGACTCTGGATAATCTTCCATGTAGTTTGTTACTAAGTCATCGCAGAGGTTGGGTAGTAAGACATGGATGGAATCAGTGGTACCAACCCCTCATAGTTGCTCATCCTAATGTCTCAACGATGTTGACAGTCTGTCCATTTCCATCAATAGATCTCTTAATGAGGTGTTATCTTTAATGTTTGTTGCTGGTGTTACCGAGGTGTTGAGTTAGGGTGTGGTGTCGTCTCCTTGTATGGGCTAAGGCGGTGGAAAGGAATCTTCAACTTGTATGAAAATCCCTAATGGTGGCTGAAGATCGTTGTTTGGTGGAGGGACGTGTTGGCCTTAGTTACTAGTGAAGGTTGAATCAGATTCTCTTAGTTTGAAGAGGATCTTGTGAGTTCTTCTCTAAGGTTATGGTTTACCTTCACGATCGGGGAGAGAGAATAGTTTTCGTTTTGTGTAGTTATTCTTGCACACCATTATGACATTTGAATAAAGTGTTTAGACTTTGAGAACGATACAAGTACTCTGACATTCAAGTAAGTTTCTATCGGAAGTAAGAGGTATTTTTGATCTTAAAGATTATGTATTTGAATTTGACGTACGACTCCCCCATTATAAATGAATCATAGGATTTGGAGGACTAGAGAAAATTTATTTTAGAGGATTTGAAAATTCTAAACTGAAAAATCAACCCTTACTAGGTAATTTATTTAAGAGGGAAATCTCATTGGTTTTCTGAGGTGTCCTTTGTCATTTTTGTTCGGCGGTTTTTCTGAGTTGTCCTCTTATCTTTTAATGACTTGTGAACCGGTGATTTCAATTTACTATAAAGATGTTCTTATCTTTTGGTGGTCTGTATAGGATTAGAGGATTGTATTATGATTTGACATGTTGTGATTTGATTGATTTAAATTTTTTGAAATGATATAATATTTTCAGGTAAACTTGTGACTTTGAAGGACGTGAAAACATGAGTATTCTCTTGGCGTGAAAATGGTATCTTAGTAGGTCTCTAGGTAGCTCCTGTGCTTTCTCGATCTATCTCGAGAATCCTATCATACATGTGAGTCAATAACGATTTGAATGTCTGCAACCTCCCTTTAGTGTTTTCTCGGTATTCAGGTGAAGATTGGTGTTGGTTCTAACATGTCCTTGGCTAAGGAATTCTAGCACTGTAATTCCTTCATTTTTGGTGATCTCTTTAATGTGTGTTATGGGGCTTTTGTTTTTTCTTTTTATATTTGTGGTTAGTTTCTTCTCTTCTGTTTAATCTTTATACCTCTTTATTTATATATGTTCTATTTATTTCCTTTAAGAAAAATGTTTCCAATCTTTCCTAACATTATGAGCCAAACTGGTAAGAATCACTTTTGCATTAATTCATGTTCAACTCTAGGCAGAACCAAACACATTCTAGCCAAAGCTCCTTCAAATTGAGAGTGATTAAATTTCACCAAGACTATCCTCCTTAGTTCAACTCATTAGCCCTCCATTTTTATCTCTGCTACATATTCTGATTTCTCTGCAAGAAGTGGTTCTTCCAAATCTATTCTATTACTTCTTTCATCATCCTCCATCTTTGATTGTGGCAGCTCTTGTTTTTTACCATCGAAGTCTTTGGCTTTTCCCCATAACACAATATACAAACCAACGATCACTCCAACCGCGCCAACCAAACTGAAAATAAACACATATGCATGCGAGTGAATAGACCAAACACAATAATCATACAATTATACATGCTACATGTATGTATGTGCGTATGTGTGTATGTATGTAATGTATTACCTTCCAACGTATAGCTTTTCCTCTAGGAATGTAGCAGCTACCAATGCAGTGATGACAGTTGCTAGAGGGTTGAACATTGCACAATACAACGGACCTCTTTCTGATATGCACCACGATTGAACGAAGAAGCTAAACGCAATTCCAATTCCCTATACCACAAAAAATAGCGATTTTAGTATTGGACGAAATCGCAACAAATGATGCCAATTGAAATGGTTCTGTGAAACCTGTCACAGACTTACTGCATATAAACTGCATGAAATTTGTAAAGGAGAAGGCAAAATCCATGCGTGAAGATCCGGCTCTTTCAGCAGTGCAAATATAGCAGACTGTATCGTAGCGAATAAACACATCCAAAACGTCGATAATACATGATCCGGACAGGATGAAGAAATCGGTACCTGCATAATCATCCAACATGACCAAAAAAAACTACTTGCTAACAGCAACAAACAACCCAGAATCCAATTATCATCTTCACTTGCAGTGAGACGTATAGAATGAGGAAGAAAGAATTCCATGTGTAACAACTTATGTCCTTTGAGAAATGCCATGGTTAAGGCTCCACTGACACAACAAACTGTCCCTAATATCTTGGCCACGTTTCGTAAACTTCGAAGATTGATTTTCTCAAATCTAACCATTCAAAAAAAATACAGAAATGTTATTTTGTCATAATATTAATAATTATATAACTAGATGCATATATATTAGTTTAATTCCCATTATTTACTTTCACTGTTTTTCTGTTTATACTTATAGAGAGCTATTACCCCAAAATTGCTGCAAATACAAAAGTTAATGCAGGTATCAAATTACTCATAGCAGTGGCTGCAGTAGAAGATGCGTAGAATAATCCACTAAAATATGCATTTTGATTTGCTGTAACCCTGCATGTAAACAATAACAGAAACCGCGTGAGTTTCAATGTTATCTGATATGTCTGTGTTAATGTCAAATGCCGACACTAACACAGACACAATTTTTTTAGAGGCATCGGTGCTACAGATATTATAACAACAAAAACACAGGCGATTTGACAAACTATACCCAATAAGAGAGGTCAGAAACATCAAAGACAAACTCTTCCATCCTATTGAAGTCTTCAAAGATTGTCTTCTACAAAAAATAATGATATATATGAGGAGTTGCAATAAGAATAATTGTTTAATAGATGGAAACTTGATTCAATAATATATATTTACCTCTTATTAGATGAAAAAATGATAGGTGCCAATGACAAAGTGGCTATGCCTTGTCTGTACACTACAAAAACGGTTGGAGTCAATCCATCTAATAGAGCAGCTCTTGTAAACATTGCAAGCAGTGCATAATGAAACTGTAACCCTATCATAACCATTACCGGAAGATAACCATCTAAAACACCCATTTTCAGATGCTCTTTTGCTATACCTTAAAACTTTGTTATTGGTTTGATATACTTGTTTTGTATATATAATAGAATAGTGGTGGCAACTTTAGGTTTGAAAACAAATTGGTCAGTATCATGTGGAAGGATAAAATTGACAACACACTGTGTGCTTTGTGTCCGTGTCTGTATCAGTGTGTAGATAAATAGAAGGTTTTAGTAAGGAAACGTAACGCAGGATTATTAATTGATTTAGATAATGAAAATGACAAAATTGGAATGTCATAATGTTGTTTAATTATATTGTTAGGTGAATATTGACAAAGGCTATTTGGTGGAGACAACATTATTTGTGAAGATAAGATCTCATGCTAGACAGACCTCAAGAGAGTTCATGTTAATCTGCACTCATTGAATGATTAGGAGACTAATCAACTATTCTAATATTATTTTTCCAACACTAGCTTTGTTACTTGTTATATAAAATACTGAAAATAGAGACGAAATTGACAATGTATCTGTTTTTTTTCGCATTCACGCGGTTAAAGTATTATTAATCATTTGATTTTAGATTGTTCGGTTCATAAAATATAAATTTGATTTCTAAAAAATTATCAATATTAAATCAGAATCATCTAATCTTAATCAATATTAGATGATCAACTATGTTTGAAATTTGAATGCATCTATGAAGTATGGATACTTCAAAAACTTAACGGAATACCAAATTTTATTCGATACGTCGAAACATTTCGATACAGCGCCGATACGTTTAGATGAGTATCCAAATTTATTTATTTTAAAAATAAATAAAAAAATTTCGATACAACAGGATCGGTCTCCAATACGTCTCAAATATATGTCTTTTCAATTTTTAACCTATTTTTTATTTTATTTTTAATAACTTTTCATTCCTTTTAATTTTTTTTAATGGTCATTCTTTAATACCCTATTTAATTCTTTTCAAAAACTTACCATGTTACAAGAATTGTTTAATTTCCCATCGTTTCTTATTAATTTTTAATATTTTAAATTTAATTCATACAAATAAATTTTCTTTTCACATATAATTACTTTTATTTATTATTTATGCAGGAACCTAATTGCAATGTTTCTTTCTTCTTCATAGCTTCATATTTTTTCATTAAAAATATTTTAATTACATTTAAAATATTTTAAATAAATTTGTATTTTAAAATATCTTAAAACCTATTATATATATAGTCTTTTTTAATTAGTAAGGTATCGTCTTTCATATCGTGTCCGCGGTTATAGAAATACAAGTTTTTTCTGTAGAAAACCTGGATAATTGCCAAGCCTCCAATATTAATTTCGTTATATAAAGGTTTTTATATTTAAGAATAAAACATTTTTTTTTTACATGCAAGTGTAGATTAGACACTTAAATTTCTTAAAATGTTTAGTTAATTAACTGTTGATAGCATGGCTAAAATTCAATGATTGGAGTATTTTAATCTCTTTACGAAGTTTGTCTTATTATTGAGCGGTGTCAGTTTTTAGCATATGACTTGGTCAGATCAGATTGGTTGGCTCTATTTTTTTTGAAAAGGATTGATTGGTTCTATAATTTATCGTGAATGAATATCGATAATGATGAAATTTGAATGCTTACATGGCTGAGTAAATCCAACAAAATCCATACAAGTTGTTGTGTAGAAGATGCTAGTAAATTGAGTTGTCAAATTCAATTTGTCTTCTATTAGCTAAAGTACAACATTACAACATTTTTGTGAACGTGTCAGACTTGAATATCACATGAAATGTTCGATACAAGACAGCCACACACATACGCTATAAAATGCATGCACATGCCAATGCGCTGGCTGGTTTTGTAGTATGAAATTTGTTACCAGCCATGCAAAAATGCCACTCATTTTTGTTGGGTTGGACCATGCTCGTATGTTGATGTTTCATTGGGAATTTGTCACAGTGAATAATTGAAAAAAGACATTCTGGTTTAGACATTTTTCCTATCCACGTATAAGCTATAGTTTATGTCTGACCTCTTAGGTGGAGTTACAGCTCGGATTCAATAAAATCCACTTTGAATGATAAGTCCTCAAGTAGGAAAGGGTGGGCTGAGGCAGTTGATGAACCAAATTAATCATGTCGACCAACAAGTAATATGAAAACAAATCTTTGTATTATTCAAGATATAAGAGATAACATATTTGATTGATGGAGGGATTAATCGCTCACACTCAATAATAAAAAAATATTATAAAAAGAGATGCTTTTATATATATATATATATAGTTAAGTTTTGTTTTTTAAAATATGATATTAGGCTTGGAGACCAACTTATCCAATGGTGTTAATTCCATTGTTCATTTGTAGAAACTAAAAAAACACATAATTTGTAATCATTTTTACTAGGGTCACATAATTAATCGATGTAATATACTTTTCATTTTTATTTTACTTTTAAATGAAATATAATCATGAATAAAACTTAACAATGATTGTGATATATTAACAGTGAAATGCTTTGAATCACTACATCCACAATTTTATATTTTTTTCGTTAGAAAAATTGTGTTTCTTGAATTCTTGTTTTTAAATTAAAAAAAAATCACTTTTTACCACGGTTCAAATTAATAACTGTAGTGAAATATCAAAACAATCTACCACGATTTGTTTTAACAATCGTTGTGAAATATATTATCTATATAAGCTAATTTAATTCATTTCAGAGCAAACTACGCTAAAAGTGAAATCCTAACTTCTCTCGTCTTATCTCAATCTTTAAAAACTCCATCATAATTTTATAAAACTCCAACATAACTTCTTCAACTAGTATGAATCAAGAAAATGTGTCACAAAACAAATAGATAGTTCATATCATTGTCTTCATTTTCCATAAATTATTTTAAGGAAAGGAACGTACCTGAAACATTTTATGAGTTTTAATTTGATATCATGTTGTTGTTGTTGTTGTTGTTGTTGTTGTTGTTGTTGTTCTGTTGCCTCAGATTTTCGACACAAATATTAATTATGAAGATCAAATAAGTTTTCTTGTTTGATGATGGATTTATTGCCAAAATCAAAGTGGTCAGTTATAACCATGGGGATCTCGATGAAGTTGACTTGTCGAAAAGGGGTCTTGGCTTTGGTCGAATGTTCAGTTAGAGACCAGGGAGTTTATTGATTTTGGGATTTAGTGAAATTCAGAGTTCCCAAAATGTTTACTCCACAGAGTCGAATAAGGTGTAAGTCGATAAGATCAAACAATTATTTAAGGACACATGGGAGTTTGTCGAAGGCGAATGCTGCATGGAGATGAAGACGTGGCATATTTGACTTAGTCGACCGTCGTAGATGGTTAACTTAGGACTAGTATATAAGTAAGTCTTCACTTATGTTTTTAGGGTCCGCAATTGCATAAAAAATTCTGTAAAACTCAAAGTATCTGTGTGTTTGTGAGAAAAGAGTTAAGAATGTACATATATGTGTTCCATTTTACAAATTAAAGTTTTTACTTTTAAATTATTTATTGCATTAAATTTAGTTTCAGTCATTCTTTTAAGTTTTTTCTTTGTATTTTAACTTTAATGTCAAACTTGTTTAAAACTTATGATTCACACAAATATGTCCTAAGATCTTTTCGAGTTTAATCCCTTAAATGAAAGAAAACTTGTTTTTTTTTTTACCAAATTTCACAGTAAACATGTTCAAAATATTAATCTTATTTTTCTTGTTTTTCTTGTTCAAAAGCTACGTCAAATATTTGTCTTCGTCCAACATAGAATTTATTATTTCTTTGTTGTTAAGATGAAACCATAGGTTTTATACCGTTGTTTTTGTTGAGATAAATATAGTTTTTAAGTTATTGTTGAGATATTTTGTTGTTTTGTTAAAGTAAGTTGTTGTTTATGTTAATGCAAGTTTTGTTTTTGTTGATAAATATTGTTGTTTGTGTTATTGTGGATGTTTTTATCAGGTATGTTGGTGTTTTGTTGAGGTATGTTAATGATTTAATAAGGTAAGTTTATGATTTTTCTCAAAAATGTCGCTGCTTGTGTTATTTTAGATGTTGAAAAGTGTTAATGTTTTTGCTTAGGTATGTTGCTATTTTGTTAAGATAAGTTGATGTATTTTGTTGGTAAATGTTGTTTGTTTTAATTTAGATGTTTTTGTTGAATTATGTTTATGTTTTTTATCGAGGAATGTTGATAAATGTTGTTGTTGAGGTATGTTTGATAAATGTTATTATTTTGGTTATTGTATGATGTGTTTGTACATGTATGCTATTGTTTATGTTTTTTATTTAATGTTATTACTTGTACATTACAACTATCATTTCGTTCACCAAACATGTTCTAGAAGATGAGCTTATTATATTCCATGTTGTTTGAGTGTTTTACCAACATGTTATTGAATATATAACCTTTCGAATTGAATTAAAAAATAATAATATGAAAAATTAAGTTATGTTAGAAAAAAAACCTACATTGACCAATGTTTTACGAGCTTTCTTTTGCCTATTATCTGTACCTCTCTCTCTTTGACGGTTAAAATTTGTTTTAATACTTATATTTCTTCAATCAACACTTTCTTTTTTACTAGTTCATTCTACAAAGTTATTAATACTTTTCAGAATGAATTAATAAAGAATAAAATATTGGTTTAAGAATTATAAGCATTGAATCAAATTTTAACTGTTAAAGAGCGAGATACAGATAAATGAGTAGTATAAAGCTCGAAAAATATTGATTAGTGTAACTTGACCTGCTAATATAACTGAATTTTTTCATATTATTAATTTTTAAATCAAGTTGATCTTAGCTTGTTTGACATCATTAGTACCCTCATGGACAACTTCTAATGCATCCCACATAGCCTTGGTGGTCTCACAATGAGAAACGCGATAATATTCATCAACACTTAAAGCGGATGTGAGAATATTTTTCACTTTTCAATCATGTGACCAAAATTGCTAATCATTAGCATCCCGTTGTGCTTCTGGTTTAGATAATGTAGCACCCTTACCATTGGTCACG